TAACACGTTAGTCCTAGTACAGTGAAACGATATTTCTACTATTTCTATGGTATTTCTTATGAAAATATTACCCTGTCCCGAGAAACAAAAAAATTATATCGGTCTTTTATATAAATTGTAGAGCCTGTTTAAGACAATTTAGGGTGAAATGTATACCCTGTTTAAGATAGCAAGGCCAAAAACCATACCCTGGCCAGCGTCACATCCCCGTATAGCAAATATATGGGAGTACCCCACACTCATAGAAATATTTAATTTTCAAAATAAACAAATAAATCAACGTTTCTGAAATGCTAATTTTGTGACATTCGAGGCTTCCTTATGTTTAGTTATGTCGTTTTTGTACTACACAAGTTTGTTTAGCTAGAACCTGTACTATAAATGGTTCATTTTTGTGTAAATTGCTTTGCCAATATTTTTAGTATCTTTCTAGATTTTTTTACGTCCTTTGAAATAGATTAAATATATAAATCCCACTCTCATTCAATGTTTTGGTTCTCATTCCCAGTAGTCAGAGTTAAAAATCCCAGTCCCAGTGCATCGGGCAATCACATYTTCCCAGCCAAATATCTTAGGGGATAAAAATCAGCCAGCCACGCCCTTCCGGGATCTTTTAGGGTTCTTTTTGAAAATTCGTTCGTTGCGTACTGAAACTACTCAAATCGTTGCTAGAAAGATGTATGACGCTATTCACTGTAAAGTTTTTGTGGGTATACTATGCCCACGGAAGATGTAAAAACGTTGCCTACAATCCTACAACTACGAATTTTCACAATTATATTAGATTCACAGGGGAAAATATAACAGGCATATTAGATTCAATGTAATTATCTTTAAAATCAGATAGAGGACAAAAGCTAATATATATGTACCCATTGGTTTTTGGTCTTGTAGTTAATTTGGGATCCCTGTGTTTGTCGCTCAAACAAACTACTCAACTCTGTTTCGTCTAGAATTAAAATCGCAAGTAAACATTGAAATCAAACATTGTCGCTTTTCTTCCCGAATATTATCCCGATTGAACCCAAACTCACACAGCATGACCAACTCACCAAATTCAATTTTATGACAAAGTTTGATGGATTTTGAATTTTCTCATTTTACCAACCTTGCTTGACGGTCTCGGAAAACCGCTCTTAAAAATCATTCGTCGTCTGCAGGAATCAGTGGTCTGACAATGCTCTTTAATATCATCATCACAGCTTGCTGCCATAAGAGATTTGCAGAGTAGCAGGCAAGTACTGGGCTTCCCATCCCTTCCAGCTCTTCCACACTCCTGTACATAAGATTCTATGTTCTTTGAGGGACCAGAGTGGATATTACGATGGACCCCCTTAATATTTACACCCATTCCAAAGGCAATGGTGCAGAATAAAACTCTAATGTGACCATCTTCTGTGCTTACATTGTCAAGAATGTGTTTCATTACTGAGTCTGGTGTTCCTGCATGGTACATTTCAACTACTCTTTCTGTTGGTTTTTGTCTTTCAGTAGAATAGAAGTCATCTCCAAGGTTCTCCTTGAAAAGACTATACAATAAAGCACACTGCTTTCTTGTTTGACAGAAGACCATAGTCCTACATTATACATGCAAATTTATGTCAGAACACGATTAGCAACGGCAAATCACAACGGCAAATCACAGGGGTGAGAAACGGATGTACACAGGCTAATTATTTACAACAGGGACTCTTGAAAATCTTTTAAAAAATTTGAAGATGTTGGTTGACTGGGTTAAGATTTTATAGACGAAGAGAATAACAAGAAGTTTCTTAATACAAATATTTCGGACGACATCCATCGTCCATCATCAGTGTATTAACCTGACTATAAAGTTAACAAATTTAAATAATTACAATATTCAATATTSTCTAGAGATTGCATGTTATCGTTCAGTTCAATAATTTCAAAGGAACTGATTGTCCTTTTAAAAAATTGGTTTTAAGAGGGATTTTCCCTTAGAGTCACCTATGACTTGCAAAATAATTTTTTATCAAATCCCTCAAAACGTGCATGTAGAACCGGCTTTTCACGGCTGTTTCGTTCGTACATTTTCGCGACATTAGGTTCCAGGACCATATCGGAGAATTCGCGCGGTCAGAAGACTTTGAAACGAGACAACAGCAATGGCGACCGATATGAATGAAGGCCATGTGGAGTGATCGTTAAGACTTTCCCGATTTTCGATCGGTTATAGAACTTAGATGAATTTTAAATTATATCTAATATGTTGGGAGAAATAGCAAGCCGATTTTTAGAGGCTTTGGATGTACAAGAATGCCAGGAAATGATATTTTTTCGAGATTTGCTTTCCCTCGGTAAACATGATGCACGACCAAGTACTT